TATTGCGGGAGCAATCGGGAATCTACAGAATCTTCTGCCTGCTGGTTGTGACCTGGCAGCTAAAGATGAGGAGCGCGGAGTGGATCATGCCTCAACCGCCTCCCCTTTTGCAAAATGCCTCAGATATTGACTGCTCTCCTCCTCCTCCTTTGCATTTCTTAGGCCCAACGCGGACCTCATAAGGATTCTTAATGAACACCGGGGACAAATCCTCGTGAAGGCAACGGATGCCGCCAAGCATGAGTAAGTGCTTCCATTTAGCCACAAGATCTTTGTGACTGTACGTTATTACCGCGGTGCGGCTGCTGGTTGGGCTCGAGAGAGAGAGCCCGTAAGGCACAACGGAACAAGTGAGTTCCGTAAGAACGATCGGTGAGCGCTCCCTACCATCTTTGTGACTATCACATCGCCACATATGATTGACCTGATGCTTTGGTTCCGTACTGCCTGATAGGAGGGTCCCGACATTATCAAAGTAGCTATTTAAACGTCCTTAAATTATTCGGATAATTGTTGTCCTCTTTCGTCAGAAGTTAAATGCTGCACTTCTTGCAGTCAGCTAGTTTTGGGACAAAATCGCGGCATGGTTATTTTTGAACCCCTCCGAAAGTGTAAAAGCTTGCGTAGGAGGGACTCCCATGTTCTTGTTTTTCTGACTCCTCCCCGCTGGTTTATCATTTCTTCAGAGGCTAACAACATCAGTTGGACTTACGAATTCTAAAATTTTCCATATGAGTTAAAGTGGCCGTTGTACTAGTTGTTTTGATGGACGCTGTATAAAAACATCGCTTATGAACCCCCCCCCCCCAGGTTGCTCAGAAAAAGGCTGTTGTAGAAGAACTGACTCTTAAAATAGTTTATGAAAGTTCTTCCCACCCCTCGCCCACTTTTTCTTCTGCAAAATAATGCCGGAAACAAATTTTCTTATCGTGGTTTGCAACACACTTTGGTGACAGTAACACCACCATCTTTTGTGGCCTTTTTAGCGCATCCTCTTCACGCACGCTGTTTACCACACCGCGTAGGCGGTTTGGTTGCCAGCTGACAGTCGTTGCTAATATCTTTATGCAGACACTCAGTCAATTACGTTTATTGTACAGGTTCATCAAATCCCAGGGCCTTGGCAAGGCATTCTTTCAGTGTGATGACTACGTCTGGCTTCTACGTGACCGCCAGCCAATGAACGGCATCGTAATCCACGGAGGTTCGGATTGGCTCATTCTGCCGCGCTACTT